ATCACAAATCTCCCTCCCTCCATCTTTCCCCAGACCAATAAGCTCAGCTTGCTGGGCTGGGCAAGGGCACCAACACCCCATGATCCCCAAAGGGTACAAACCCAGCCTGTTCACACCAGCGTCAGCCTCTTTGCAGGGAAGAGCTCATGGACATACACTTTCAATGTGGCTGAGAGCGAAAAATCTGATCAAACCACACTTTCTCTGACCTGCAACGGAAAATACTGTATTTTTTAGAGGTAACGCACAACAGAGATGATGTACGATTGCTGCCAGTGCAACAGTACCAACAGCCAATTACCACCTCACACTTCTTCTCATAATCCCTACATCACATTTAGCTGTAATTCAGCTCATAACTTGGGTGTGGGTCAAGTTCACTGTGAATACAGAGGGCAGAAGATGGGATCTGGCCCATAATATCTGACATCAGTTGAAAAATTATATACTCTTCCTCATTTTAGGCGCACAGGACTCAATAACATATTAAATCCCTAGTCAATAGGCATGTGAAAAAAAAATCACAGACTCAAGGAAAAGTAGATTTTTCCTCATCTGTCAGAGGACACCTCCATTTCTGGAGCTAACACCCTTGCACTGAGGATGCTGCAGCAGGTTGGCACTAGGGTTTCCCCCCCTAGCATGGATGTTAGCAATTTGGTTTCCAGCTAGCAGTGCTAGCTCAGCTTACAAGAGGATGAATTTTTGTGCTATGTGCCAGCATCTTTTTTCTGAAAGAGGGGCAGGGATACAATTTTAGCAGTTGCAATCTCAAACAGAGGATCCCAAATGCTAAATCAGTTTTGGAGTCTTCAATAACCAGATCAATGAGATGGCAGTCAAAGCCAACACAAGGACCTGATAACAAAGTATTGATTTTTGGTGGTGGCGATCCCTCCAGACCCTCAAGAAATAATAAACCACTCAAACTGAAGTCTGAGAAAAAGCAACTGGTCTACAGGCCCTGAGGAAGTCTTGGTTTCATTTCCACTGTAAATAAACCTCAGGCAGCAAGAATGCCTACATACAAATACCAGTTGTCCCTAGAAATAATTCATAATATAGAATTCCACAGTCAAGAAATGACAGATGGAAATAAATGTTCTTATTTCTCTGAAAAAGCTGACCATTGGTCAATAAAAATGCCTCTCTCACCCTCCAAAATCAAACCCTTCCAAAATCAAATCCTTTGCCAAAACTGTGAACATTAAAGGAAAATGCACTTGACAAGTCATTTGGGTGACAGTAAAAGCCCTGTAATTAGTATAGCAATCAATTTTTAAAGGTTGCTGCAAAAAATTATGCTCATGAACAAAATGGTTCTCTTCAAATTGAAATCAGTGCCTGTTTAGTATAAAGAAAAATAATTGAATGGCTGGCTCACCTTGCATGTTTTCAGAGGGTAGTAGGTTGTCCCTGTTGGATTTCATTATGGATTCTGTTTGGCATCAAAAAAACAATGCCTCAACTATACCTGCTTGTGCCAGTCAAGCACTGAAATGATCTGCTTGCTTCTAGACACGTGGCAATGGAGACGAAAAACATTCACCAGGCCAGACTACCTGGCCATAAAGTACCTGGAGAAGGAATAACTTAGCAGCACCTATTTACAAGCAGGGCTTCTGGAAAGAAAGATTAACCTAGTGACTAAGCAGGACTTCACTTTCTCCAGAACAGGGTAAATGAACTCAGTCTTCAACGGGACACTCACAGTGTAAAGGTTCATCCAGGCATGCCAGGATCCATACTTATATTATGTAGCTGTTTGGTACATTAAGGAGGCAATAGGGGAAGAATTAAACCCTGGGACAACGGTTATTGCAGAAATCCAGCGTCCAGGTTACCAAAAGAAAGGGTGAAGACCCAGTTCCTCTGCCTGTGTCTCACTGTGGGAAGGGGGGATAGATGGCATCTGCAATCTCTGCATGTCCACAGCAGTTCTTCCTCTTGTTATTAAATACAGCACCACTGATAGCGTAAGATGGAGTCATACTTTTTAATACAAAATTAGATAAATTTAAACTATAGTACATGTCAAAATTACTAACCTACAGAAAAGAGCTGACCGTAATGTGGTTGTCCTTCGTTCTCCCCCCTCCCTCCTTCCTGGACATATTGCTCATTTGTCTGTTGATCAGTTTTTCTAAAGAACATTTTAAAAACACGTGGTTACAAGCCTCAATTGCAAACAGGACTAATCTCATTTGCTGTCTAAAATCTACATCTACCTTATATTCCTGCATACATTTTTCATCAGCCATCACTTTCTTTATTCATGACCTTTTACTCCATGACCACACCATAATCGCAGTGATGTTTACATTCAGGGTCTCTGAGTGATTTTTGACTCCATCAACACTGAACGCAGGCTTGGTGGGAGGGCGACCAGCCAGCTGGGGATCTGGGAGGGGCACAAAGGTATCCTTGGTGTCATCAAGTCGGACAGGTACGCGCTGAGCAAGCAAAACCCCCGGCTGAGCACAACCTGCCAGCTTTGGGAGCAATGCAGCAAAAAGCATTAACGGCAAAGCTCCTCACCCTCCACACGCAGCCCGTGCAAAGGCTGTGGCACCAGTTTCGGGGCTGCTGATGCTCCTGGCCAGGCAGGCTTGGGGTACCTGCTGGCCAAGCAGCAGGGAGGAGGGAAAGGAGCTGCAGCCCCCCAGCTCCAGCCTGCATCGGAGCACATGTCCGTATGTAAACATGATGGCTAGTGGGGCAGCTCTGGATTTGAGAGTACCTTTGGGCTTAACAGACAGCGTAAACATACCCCCGGGTACACCGCAGAGGCCTCAGAAAGTGAGGCTGCACCTGGAAACACATGGAGGGGCTTTCTGCAGCAAACAGTCTCCAAAAGATCACGACGCCTTGCACTGGTAACCCCTGTACTCTCAACCCATGGGGATTGGCATCTTTTTCAACATCACACATTTCATACCACTTCCAACAGCCTGAAGATCTGTTAAAAATATTTATTTCCCAGGATTTTAGCTTTCTGACTTCTATGCAAACTAACAACCAAATTGTGGGCAGTAAGAGCAAGCATTCGTTTATTTTGTAAGAGGACTACTTGCTGCTAACTGAAAACAAGCATTTTCAATGAGGCAGCTGTTTCAGCACTGTGAATAGACAGATCAGCATCACATTGAAGATCTAATAACCCGCTAATGAACCTTAATTTTTGGAGCCCCCTCCCTCACCCATTTCCACATTTCAGTAATTTCAAAACCATTGATATGTGCTGCCAGAGAGTTAAGTATGCCCTCTGACATCTTTTAATAAAAACCAGAAAAATGGTAGCTTTTTTTTTTGAGTTATCAGACTATATTAAAAACCTTGTTACATGTATTTAACAATTTCTTTTTTTTTTTCTTTTCTTAAATAAATAGCAAAGTGTCACCAAGATGAATGGAATGCCGGCACCATTGCATCGATAGAAACTTCCATACTAGGATGAATACACAGTCATATTCTGGAATATTGCATAAAAAGATACTTTGGAGGAAAGGTGATGGTTGCTGGTGCATCTTAGGTGGTGAAAGCATCAACTCGTGAATGGTCCGTGCAGGGGTATCGTGATGTGGCACTTCTGCAAAATCTCACCGGCCCGAACCAGGGGGCTACAGAGGTGGCCTCCTTTGAGACTCTGCAAGAGAACAACTCACAGGACATCTACGCCGGACATCGACTTACCGCCTGCTATCAAGAGCAACGCAGCCGATGGCGTAAGACGAGGGGCTGACCGTCTCACTCTCTAGGCAGAAGAACACTAGCTTTAAACGAGGGGAACGAACAATGTTAAAAACAAGCAGGCTGACTAACACTCAGCAGGGCAAGGGCTTGGGAGAGTTGAAGCTGCCAACTCCTCAGTCAAGAGGGAAGGATGCAACTATTCACCACTACATGGAAGGTTATAGGACCAGGCATCATTTTTTGATGGGCTTCCCTAGGCTGAGCTGGTGTTATTTTTAAGTCTGACCAACAGCCTCTCTTCAAACTGGGACAAAGCTTAAAAAGGACAGCGCTGAAGGAAGACCAGCAACATGCGGCACACCAGACAGATCCCACTACATCATCTGCTGCCTTTAACTCACTCCACCGTGAGCGGCCGCCGCTCCATGCGCTGGAGTGCACTGAGCTAAATCCCACCTCTCTGCTCCTGTTGGCTTAAATCAGACCCTCGTTATTTTAAACAGAGTTTATTGTATTTAATACATTATAAAATTTGAAAAAATTGTAGGAAAGCAGCAGATTCAAACCAGAGCATCTCTACCAAATATTATTCTGGCCCCCTTTGAAAAAAACACAAAACAAAAACAACAACAAAAAAAACTCATTCAAAAGAAAAGTTAACCTTTCACATCTGTGAGGGCAGACAAAAAGTGTGCGACTTCTGTACAAACTACATTTAAAATTTCAGTCGACTAGCTTTCCAATGCAATGGATGGTCGTCTCCTGAACACCTGCCCATCCACCTCTAAAAAAGACAGACATAAACCTCCATATGCAAATAAAGTTGAGTCAAGGTGTGTACACATTAAAAAGTGGATAGCTGTTTGGCAATGGAAAATGGGTGAAGATTAGCCTATGTATCCCCCAATGGTAATGGCTTGTACACCGTTAAGTGGGCCCGAGTAAGGCCTAGGACACTTAATGGCCATCACAGCACCAACCTCATCTACCACTTTTTTGTTGTTGCATTTCCTACCCTTTGACATATACATACATATATATATGTACATACATACATATACATACATATTTTTAAATATATGTGTGTGTGTTTTCTTTTACACCTTGAGGTTATTATTATTATTACTACTATTCCAAATGTTCCCATATGAATTCAGGTGTGGTCTCTATATTTGATATAAATGTGTCTTTTATTCAATTTTAGTTCCAGGACTTGTTTGGAGTCCAAACTGCACAGGAAATGTCCCCCTTTTTTTTTTTTCCTCTCTTTTTTTTTTTTTTTTTTTGCATAAAGAAACATGTCCATTTTAGTCCAGAGGCTCTTGCTTTATTCGAATGACGGAGGGTGCACGAGATGTCCTTCTGAGTTCTCGTCTCAGTACGTATTCACTGAATTGGGAAGAGTCCACCCCACCTCCACACGAGCCAACAATCTCAAACCCTCTTTGCTGTAACCTCTCAAGTACCTGCAAAAAAGAGGAAACAAATACCAATGTGTAAGTAAATAAACATATTATTTGCTGAGGACAATAACTGCTGTTTTCAAATGGATCCAGGTAGGAAACAGAAGTGGTTACACAGATCTGCTAACTGGTTCCCTCAGCTTCATTGTATTGGACTGATTTCTGCTGAGTTTGTCCACTGAGAAGAAAAATAAAGGAAAAAAAATTTTTTTTATATATATATATTTTTTTTAGTACTGTCAACAAAAAATCCAGTATTCTTCTAGCCACAGAAACATGCCTGGAAAAACACATTCTCTGATTCACAGACTTTACAATACAAAAGCACAAATGCTGGACTGCACAGCATATACCAAAGGATGCGAGGAAACACCTCAACTAAATGATGACAATGCAGACACTGCGGTCATAATTTCAGAAAAGTTACCGTCGTATTTTCTAGAGACTTAAAAAACCAATCGTGACTACAAAGTGTTTTGGCTACAGTTACCTGTGGTAAAACCTAGGATCTTTTAACTTTAATGATGGGACTAATGAGTTCTGCCTATTCACCTTCTTTCCTCCCTTTTCACAACCTGGGTGGCAAAAAAAAAAAAAAAAAAAAAAAAAACAACAAAAAAAAAAAGAAAAAGAAAACCCACAAGGAAAAAGAGAAGAGTCAGGCAGGGCTCTCAGAGTGGCAGGCGGCTGTGCCCAACGCAGCTCACCCAACAAATGATGTGGCAGAGACCTCAGCTCCCAGCACCAGCTCCAGGCTGCTAAGACCATGGTCTCCTGCCACACCACTATTCCACTCTTTTTTCTAATTACCCACGTTCATGCTGGTTTACTGTAACTGTGGGGCTGAGGCATTCTTGCCCTTGTTTATACTCTTTCCTACTTTTATCATAGAATCATAGAATGCTTTGGGTTAGAAGGGACCCCTAGAGGTCATCTAGTCCAACCCCCCTGCAGTGAGCAGGGACACCGCTAACTCGATCAGGTTGCTCAGAGCCCCGTCCAACCTGGCCTTGAATGTTTTCAGGGATGGGGCCTCCACTACGTCTCTGGGCAACCTGTTTCAGTGTTTCACCACCCTCATTGTAAAGAATTTCTTCCTTATATCTAGTCTAAATCTACCCTGCTTCATCATCATCTTTATCTGTTCTGCTGCCTGGACTTCCTTCACCTCACCTGTGAAGGAGACCCTTCCAGGGCTTCACTGGGGTCAGCTGTGATGGCCACCAGCTCCAGGGTGGGGGGCTGATGCTCCCGCACCCCACAGGACATGGGACTCTCTGTCCAGCATGACCAGACCTCACTGGGGTTGTGTTGGGAGTGGGTGCCTGCCGAGTCTTTCCCAGCTATTTCACCAATTAGCAAACTGGCTTGCATGTGTGCTGGGACATCAAGGGCAAGCAGAGCAGCAGAAGGCTGTGGAGGATTGGAGTGGGGGGAGAAGTGAGCTGTGGTTTAAAAATGCTTAAAACAAGACATGCCACATCTTTACATGTATTGCTTCAGGTCTGCAAATTTCCAAAATACCCGAGCATGGTTAATTGCACAGCAGACAAATCTCAAAAAGGAGGGGGTGGTGAAGAGACTCAGAAGCATCAAAACATCTGTGCAGTTTGTTTACCCTGATCTTTAGCTTTTAACAATATAAAGCCAAAATCCCCCAAAAATGTCTCAGTGCAGGCCACCAAAAAATAGAGCAGGAGAACTTAGGTCTTGAGAAAAAAATGCAGTGGAAGCAACTGGTCAGGAAACTAGTCCAGCCCTGGACAAACCATTTGGTCTGTACCTCACTCCCCAGGTCTAACGTTAGTCCCTGTCCCGCTCCGCATTGTCATTAGGACTGGGAGAAGCTTACATGTCCCTAAAATGGAAGATGCATCATCATCATCATCTCTCTTGAAGCCCATCCATATTTTGCCACTCTGACTCGGGTTTTTCACACCAGTAAATATGCCTGGCAATTCTTACATATGTGACAAAAATGTAAGCATCAGAATAAGTGATAAACAGCTAAAGGATACAACTGCTTTGAGAACTATCATGCGGCGCATGGCTAAATAACCCTCCCTGAAAGTCTTATCCCTTTTCAGTTGTAATCTTACATCTAGGGCTGTTCTAAATTTGCATTAGTCACTACAACAAAACAACTTTGATGATTCAGCATGGCAGAAAAGGCCAGTAAGAGCCAACTGTCGAAGCATAACATGGGTTAAACCCTATCTTGATAGGTCTAGATAGGTCTATCCAGACTCATGTGTGAAGTGGCAGCACGTATGCAGTGCCTGGCGAGCCCTCAGTGCGGACTGTGGCGCTCAGCTTGCGTCCTCTGGGGAGGGAGCGGAGCAGAGCTGTTCCACCTGGACAGCAAGACCTGGCAGACAGAAAGATGTCAAGCTCAGTTTGCAAGTCTCCTCTGTGTAAGAACTCGCTCGTGAGTCTGCAGCATTTAGGAGGTGTACCGAAACCAAACAGCACCAGTAGTGCTAGTGTCAATTCCAGATGTGAAGAAGTGCTCTCGCTCCAAAGCGCTGGCTGTGCAGGATGTGCTAACTAGGTGGAGACAGATGTGTGAGGTTGGTTAGTTTTAACCAACAAAGGATAAAACAGAAGACACTATGAGTTTATTATAATTATTGCAGAAACTACCTACATCTGACTCCCAGATTTTTTTTCTTATCAATTTCATAACAGCTACTGATTTTAGATATTACTACATAGAATCATAGAACAGTTTGGGCTGGAAGGGACCTTCAAAGATTATCTAGTTCCAATCTCCCTGCCATGAATAGGGGCATCTTCAACAAGATCAGGTTGCTCAGAGCCCCGTCCAACCTGACCTTGAATGTTTCCAGGGATGAGACATCTACCACCTCCTCTGGGCAGTGTTTCACCACCCTCATCATAAAGGATTTCTTCTTAATACCTAGTCTAAGTCTACCCTCTTTCAGTTTAAAACCATTACGCCTTTTCCTATCTCAACAGGCCTTTTCTATGCAGAAAAAATTAGGAAAAATTGCTGAAAGTGAAAGAGGAGGGTCTTCCCTGAGACCACAGAAACAGGTGGGTCCCCATTTGCAATAAGCAATCGTGCCTTTGTTTTTGCTACCACAGCAAGGAGGAAGACTGAACATGTTTTCTTAGTCCAGAGTAAAAAGCGTACGGTCATTTATTCAAGAAGTATTAGAGAGGTCTTTATCAAATGCAAAAGACCTGGGTAGCACTGGAAAAACGATGCACTAGTTTTTAACCACAGCAGTGATAACTTCCCCCTGCTGTACCCTTCACATTACATGCCTTGCCTGATAGTCTCATTGAAGGGTCAAAGTCCTCCTAGGATGTCCCAGTTTAAAATATAGCAGGAGGGACTGAGGCAAAGTGCCCCCAATGAGGGTAAGACTCAACAGGTGCCTTCTCCTGTGGTTTCAGGCTACTCCCTTCTCCAGAAATACTGGGTCCTGTTTCAGGAGGAATGAGGAGGAGGAAGGAGGATGCTGGCTGTGTTCTCCCTCTGTGGAAGTGCAGTTCTCCTCTCAGTAGCTGGCCAGTGCTACTGTCCCATCATTTCTTTCTCACATTAATTCCCCTTTCCCCTCACTTCTCACTTGTTACATCCAGAATAAGAGACTGGGGCTTCACCTTTTTGCTCCTCTGTTCTTCCTATTTAGTTCCAGAGCTCCTGTGGACTCTGGGAAATCAGAGCATCTCCACTACCCTTCTTGGGTGAAGGGACAGTTCCTGATGCCCAATGTAGCATCTCCCCTCCCTGGCTTGAGATGTCCCTGTGCCCTCTCATCAAGCCAGAAAACAATTTATAACAAGCAGGGCAAGGGACTTCAAGCAGGCTTGAATGTTCGCTCCATATTCGAATGTCAAAAAAATGTTTCTCCAAACATGTAATGTCTTTATATTGAGGCAAACATGTATTTCCTAACGCAGGTTTTTAACGCTACTGTAGTTTGCTCGAGATTTGGTGATGATATGCGTGAATTAAGTTAAGAAAGAAGCCCTGATCCTCAGAAGTAAATAACTAGCTCAAAGCCTCCAGCTAATTTTGTTCTCCAAAACTCTCCAGCAACAGGGAAAAGGGTCAACCCACTGGTACCCAGCCAGCAGGCTCCCTTCCAAAAAACGCACACGTGACTTCCTACCTGAACTGAGTTGAGGTGACAGTATCCGTTCAGCGGAAATCGGATGACATGCGTCGAGTCGTGATTCCAGCCGGCATTGACAGAATTACACATCACGTCACCGATTTCTGGAAACACTTCTTCTATCAATGACTTATCGCCACTGAGTGTAATCCTCTCTCCGAGGTCTGGGGCAACTCGCACCACCAGGCACTCACAAGACTTTGAGAAGCGGCCACTCTCCCGGTCCTGTTTCCACCTTTCCATCTCCCCTAGCATGGGCTGAAGCTGGAAGTACTTTGCCTCTTCATATAACAAACTGTAGTCCTGAAAGACACATATATTACTGTGCACAATTAAGAAAGAGGTGTTGCTAATGTACCACTTAATGTATATGGTTATTCAGGCTAGTGCTGCTCTAGATCTGGAACCCTTCAGACATAGTTTGTAATTACTGTGTAGGAAGGTGTAATAAAATAACAGTGCAAGCAAAAAATAACCATCAGCCACTTGAAACAGACTGGGTATAAGCAGCACTTGTGAGGGGAGGGGGAGGTTATGCTTGCTCAACTCCCTCCTGCTATGGAATAATCCAGGCAAAAAATCCCACTTTTCCCTGTGTTTTATCCCCATAGTGATGTCATAGAATAATGACCTCATTGAACAGATGGAACAGAAGTCAATCAGGATTCAGAAAATTCATCACTAGGATCCATCGCGTCTTACAGCAATACTAGCAGGCATTGTAACAGGTATAAGAATGTAAATGAGGGAGCCTGCAATGGCTCTTAGTGTAAAATGATTCAGATATTTGCATAATGGATTGCACATATTATTGCATTTTAAAAATTAAGTATTTTTTAATACCTCCCCATTTTGCCGACAGTATTGTTTACTACATCATCTCAAATGCCAGAGCAGAGAGAACGTATTTCTAAGCATAGCCAGTATAGAAGTAATTTAGAACTGATGATCTGGAGTCTGCCTACTGCCATTTTTTAAATGAAAAAAAAAACCCAAATCCAAAACAATCTTGTTTTTCTAGGTTTAAGAGCCTAAGACCATTTGGAAAATATTTATACAGAGAAAAGCAATACATGAGAATTAAGGAAGACAGAGGAATAGAATGACAAGAAGACTGCTAACTGTCAATATGGCCCTGAATTTGAGCTAGAAACCAAATACTTGATGAGAATGGGACACCTAAATTGCGCTCAAAATACTGCTTATGCTTAATGTGTAACAAAAAAGGTCACCTAATCTATATATTCTAAGAAACAAGGACTGCTGTTCATTCCAAGGGCCGATCTTCTGGCCACCTTAAAACGTAACTGGGAAGGACATCCCTTTGAACATCACGCTGGTTGGGTGAACTGGCCAGGAGTTACATTTCCGCATAGCTACTGTATATTTAGGTGTTTAAAAGGCTTTGCATATATAACTTCTTAATACTGCATGGAAGGCAGCTTTTCCTTTTTCTGTATTTCTGATTACCTTCGGGACAAGTGCCGAGAGCGGCACAAAGCCACGCAAAGGCTTCAAAAGAGGGACATAGTGCTTATCAGCTGGTTCCAAACTCCCACGTTATTCGGGTAGGTCTGCCCATGTCACGCATGGGAGAAGGAAGCATGTGTCTACAGCAGATGATTCAAAGGTTGCTGCAATACGGCTCTCGAACTCAACCCCACACCTATTATGCCCCAAACACCTGAAAGTCTGTCTCAGATGCGAGGGATAAAAGACTGCACACCAGGGTGAACTGTTCTAACCCTTCCCCATCACCTCTCTTGTTCAGTCTGAATTGCTGGTATTTCCTATGGTGAACTAGTGGCACAGCCAGCTACGCTGATACGCATGCATTAAGTAATGATAAAGATCTGTTCCGATCGCACCAGCGCTCTCCAGTGCTCCCTTTGCTGGCACCGCATAATACACCCACAGACCTACAAGCGGATAAACACAGAACATCACACGGAGTCTTGAAGCTCTGCCTCTGTAGGCTAATGTCTAACGTGGTAAAGTACCACAAATTTAATTTGTTATTAAAAAGAAAAAAAAAGCGCAGGCTTTTTAATAAAGTTTAAATAATAAACGTGGAACTATTCATCCCTGACTTCTCTAAAACTCCAAAATTAAACTTGCAGTACGCATTCAAGAGTCTGAGGGAGAAAATATTCTATGACTAATGCTCAAATATTACCATGTGTGCAGTTTATTTTGTCAATACTGTGATTCCCACACCATTCTCTGAATTTCAGTGTGGGAGTGGAAGCTGGAACTGCTGCAAGCAGAGGGGAAGCATAAAAGCAGATGAGAGGACAAGTAACCAGCAAAGCTCACGAGCAGTCGATTCCAGATTGTAACATCCTTTCTGTCTCCATTAGCATCCTATAATATTTAATTTCCCTAGGTCAAACATGGCAAGGTTGCTCCGTTATGTTACAGCCAGGAGGGGAAAATTTAGTATTGATGCCACTCTAGGAAAGGCTGACAGATGCCACTTTAGCAACCCCATGCTTACTTTGGCCATGTACCCAAAATCAAACACAGTACCGTGCAAGTGTCATGTCCCCCCCCTCCCCAGGGCTCTCGTTTTGACTACACACCAGATAGCGGTTTTACCCAAGTCCCTTGAAATCTCACCTTGAAATCATCAGGAATGAGGAGTTTCGATGTCCTTAAAAAGTTCAAGATATATCTGAACATCTGCCCATCTCTGTCGATGAAATAATGCTGCTTGAGACTGTCGAGGACAATGGGCTCCGTGCCATCGAAAAGCCGGCCGATTCTGGAGAGGAAACAAGAGGCAAGCGGCAGGGTCAGAGCAAGCTCGGGCTCAGCAGCCGCTCAAACAGCCCCACGCTGCCAAACCCCCTTGCGCTGACTTCCCTGAAGCAGCTCTGCGGCTCCGCTTTGCAAGAAAAGGGTTGGTTTCAAACCACGATTTAAGCTGGGTGTTTTCCAGCGTGGCCTCAGAAACTTCTAAGTTGCACAGCTGGAGAGGTGGAGGCGAAGCAGCCGGGGCAGGAGCCTCCTGCACCAGCTTCACTGCCCAAATCAGTGTCTCGTGAGATGAAACCCCCTCGATTATTTTGGACACCTCTCTTGATAGTCCCCATCAGTAGACGCCATCCCCTTGATTGACTCCATTCTGCTTTCCCAGGGACTGCATGATGAACCTGATTTAGTTTGGAAATCGCACTTGGGAAATGTTGCTTTGTTTGTTGGGTTTTTTTCTGGTTGTTTGCTTGGGCTTTGTTTGTTTTTAAACCCAGTTCATTTTTTGGATGCCATTGACTGCAACCAACACTTGGACAGGCACAACTGAGGGGGCAGCATGTTATGGGAATAAGCAGCTAGGGATACAAAGGTTATTACATTTCAATATGAGGTAATGATTTCACGGCGAAAATTAACTGTGTGTGGTAGGTATCAATTAGCACACACTAAAATAATCAGGAAAACCCCCTCAGTTTTGACTGAGGCTGCCCACCAACCACCTAGAACCACACAGCCACCTAAAAAGCCTCCGCCTGCCAACAGTTCTTTCGATAGCAACCGCTGGGTGCACACACATTTTCTAGAAGCGTGCCCCACAAACCTGCTTTTATTGGAGCAGCAGGAAGGGCTGAAAACTCTGAAGAAAAACCCTGCCGGAGTAAGATGAAACACATGTTGTGTTTCTTCGCCAAGGGTGTTTGCAAAACGCTCCTGAGTCACTCGCAGTTTCCCAATGAAATCAGCAGGAGCAACTGGCAGGTCTGATTTTGTGCGCCTGTTTATACATCTGCATGTGCAACGTGGAAGTACTTTTTGATTCTTTCCAACACCAGGATTGTACACAAAATGGTCTCAAAATAGCTTGCTTGCATGTGAAATACTACTGACGACTTGGGACACCTACTTCATAGCCTTGTCACAACCTGTTACATTATGCAATATTCTGCAGATTCTGTGCTTTCATTATTTTAATGAAAAGGCTCATTCGTATGTAGTTTTTGTCCCAATATAACCAACTTGTTTCGGGAACCAGCACAGTAAAATCTCTACAGGTTTCTAAAGAGCATATAATAGCATCACCGTACATCGGCATGGAGCTAGGGGACCAACAGGCGCTTTTGTTCCCTGATGACGCTTAGTTTGTGGCACGAGTAAGGTGCAAAGCTGCCTTCTCACAAAAAGGATACAGCAAGCAAAACAAACAGTCATGGCACACTATTTATGTTATAAAAGGAGTGAAGAAACAACCATTCCCCACCACCAGTAGAAAAAGACACCAAAAACTCAGGGGCAATCAGCCCTCCTGGCTGCACGAAGCACCCCAGGCCAAGAGACACCCCCATCCATCATCCACGAAAGGTTCAAGAGGCAAAAGATAGAAGTGGTTCTAAAAGAGGGGGAGACTGCAGGACTTGCAGGGAGGTCTCGGGGAACTGCAGAGGGATGGGGCTCCAGGGGACCGCATGCCACTTCACACCTGCGGCCATGCACCCTCCCTTCAAAAATGGCAGCGCCAACCCAAACGGAGTTTGAAGCGATGCCTGTGCCCGTGGCAGGGACCTCAGTGGTACACCCAGTCATAAGCTGTGAACAGAACGCAAGTCTCATCTATTCTTTTCTCACCAGCTGTGAGAAGTGAAGACCAGAAAAGAAATAAAACCCCATTTAACCTCAACTGACCATTTACAATTCTGTAGGAAACACCTGAATCAATTCAAGTCACATGAAATCTGTAACATATAAGGAATTAAATATATTTTGCAGGATCATCAGATACAAAATATTTTTTTCAAAGCCATCCCTTAGAACAATTCAGGCTTTCTTCCTTGGATGCTTGTTACTGCCTGCCCTGCTGCTCAAAATTTAAGCTGCGACAGGCCATATAATACAGGTTCCAGCTCAGTAGGTGGATGAGTAACATTTTTTATCTAATATGGATGCACTCAGCATTTAGAATTAATTTGCCCCTATACTCAAGCATGCCGTCTTGGAATCTATCATGGAATTCACACACAAAACATATACATTTGGCCAAGTCAGTCATTACTGTAATGTATAACGGTAATTGGTTTCTGCAGCATTTTCCTGGTTTAAAATTACTACTATAATTACATATTTACTGCATTCAGCTCTGGGGCCCCCAACATAAGAAGGACATGGACCTGTTGGAGCAGGTCCAGAGGAGGGCCATGAAGATGGCTGGAGCACCTCTCCTATGAGGACAGGCTGAGAGAGTTGGGGTTGTTTGGCCTGGAGAAGAGAAGGCTCCGGGGAGACCTTACAGCAGCCTACCAGTACCTGAGGGGGGTCTACAAGAAACCTGGAGAGGAACTTTTTACAAGGGTATGTAGTGATAGGACAAGGGGTAATGGCTTTAAACTGAAAGAGGGTAGATTTAGATTAGATATAAGGAAGAAATTCTCTACTATGAGGGTGGTGGAGCACTGGAATGGGTTGCCCAGAGACACTGTGGATGCCCCCTCCCTAGAAGTGTTCAAGGCCAGGCTGGATGGGGCTTTGAGCAACCTGGTCTTCTGGAAGGCGATCCTGCCCATGGCAGAGGGTTGGAACTAGATGATCTTTAAGGTCCCTTCCAATCCAAACCATTCTATGATTCTATGATTTTGAACCTCTAGGCCTTTTGTCCTCATGTTATTCATTGTTTAGGAGAACAAGAAGACTAGCAGAGGATGGGCCTTCTGACAAAACCATAACGCTGACAAGAGCGGAGAGCCATCAGGAGTGCAACCAGGGAGGTGGAAGCCATTGGGTCGGGGCTGGAAGAGTTAACAGAAAGTGCTGCCTTAGTGCACTGCTGCTTTGCAGCAGCAAAAAAAACCCAAGGAATTGCAAAGTCCCAATTCCCCTTGAATCTCCCCAGGATTCCTTTGCAATACACAACTGCACTTTCACATGTTAAAACAGCTTTGGAAGGGTAGACCCCCAGCAGAGAGCCTTCTGTAAACAAAATTAAAGCCTTTTTCCTTTTCCAGTGGAAAAATGTATATTCCAGCTTCCTAGGCACGGCTCTCCTTGAGGAAAGACTTGAGATAATATGGGACCCAAATCTAGCGGCATGGTCCTTCTCCTAAGCTGCATTTGCTACACCTATAAGGAGAGGAGACGGCTATGCCAGGATCTGGGGAACGACCAACACCTTCACCCTCCAGCCACCTCCTGTGCTCTTGGGTTCCTGGAAGCACAGCGGCAAGCTCTCTGCTGTGCCACGCGTAGCAACTTCTATACAATAATATTTGAGTAACCACCCTCCCTGTCACCCATAGCTCTGCTGTTACTCCTGCTTGGTCTCACACTGCAATTATAAATGCTTAAGACCCATCAATCCGCTGGCATGAGAAGGGACTTTTAAGTCATGTTTATTATAATTTCACTTCCCGGGAAAACCTGAAAGATGTTTTTCCCCATCTCCTTCTTGACAAGGTTGGCTGATGATTGGCAAAGATAACTTTTTTTTTTTTAAATGAGAAGTACGTAACAATTGAACGGATTTCCAAACAAGAAAGTGCTTTGAAGGAGGCTTGCAAAATAAGCTGATAATTATATGCAGAATTAGCCAAATATCAAGGGTAAAGGATAAAAAAACCTGTAGTCCATTTACAAGAAAATGTACTTCTGAAATATTTAATTAAAACTAACAGGCTGGAATTTTCTGTATACCAGGAAAATTAATGTCCCATGGGTTGAAAGTGCGACCTCCGATGGGTAATAATTAATGTCTGTGGCTTTAACTATCATATTCCACTGTCAGAAATCGAATGCTTCAAGGGTTGAAAACACAACCAGTGGAAAACTCTGCTTCCATCAGAGAATTTGGTTTTACTTTAAAGACACAAAGCAGGTACAGCTGCAAGCCTGGTTTTAGTGGGGAGAAAACAACGGGACATGGAGGAGATCAGTGGTTTAATTCCATAAAATACCACAGGAATGGACCCTTCTCCCCACAGACCAGCACGTCCATAGCAGCGTTCCTAGACCAAAGACCTAGCATGGGAAGATGGCATTGCTTACAGGATTTCTCAAATTCTTCACAAAGAAGTCCTGGTTGTCAAGGATCAAAATATACTCAGTCTGCAGCAAAGCTGTATACATAATGTAAGTGTTTATAACCTTGCTCTCTCAGTGTATAAATATTTATGTATATTATTATACACAAAGAGAAAAGCTTCCCTTTATTCTGCCTCAGTTGAGAATTTGGGAAAGCAGCAATAATTAGGAACAAGATGGCCAGTGTTAATTGAACAAAGTCAGTTATTGCAGAACTTTCTTAACACTAAGAAAGATGACACACTTCTGCAGATCCTTTTAGTGGCTTCAGTGGACAGGTCTAAAATTTGTCCTTTTTCTAATCAAAGAGACAGAAGGAAAAGATGCATGCTTTGATGTCTGCAAGCATGCAGAATATTGCATTACTTTCAATCTAAGGTAGAAATATACCTTTTTTTCTCCTCTGAGAAAACACAGATTCCTTATCATTGAATATATTCAGCATAAGATTTTTCATACTGCTGTCATTATCAGAGGACAGCACGAACTCAAAACTAACTGAAAATCTTTTGCAATAAACTATTTTCAAGAATTCCAAGCTGCCAGCTTGCCCTGCTCTCTCTGTCTTTTGCAGAACAACGACAAAGGGAGGAAGAGTCCTGGTGTGAAGCCCTTCTAATAACCGGGCAGAGGGAGCCGTGCAGCAGCATCAGCGATGCCCCGGCACCCGCAATCCCGTGCTAAGAGCAGGGCAAGTGACTGCCTGGGACTCCATCGAGGTCG